TAGCTAATAAACATAGCTGAACTGAATTAGCATTGTCTCTTGGAGTTCCTTGGGCTAGCCCTGACACTTTGAACTATATATTCCTCTAATGTAATTTTATGAAAGCAAGCACCATTGAACTTAATGGGACAGATTTTAGAAATAAAATACAAATAGGATTATTGCTACTTCTCTTACAAGATATGTTATGTTTAAAATTCCAAATTTTAAATAAAAACAAATAAAACGAACAAGAAGAAAAACCTCTTAACTTTCCTTTAAAAAAACAAAAGAGTAATTGCAGTTCTTTCAGATGCACAGAACATATGTATTTTAAATTATGTTTCAATCTATATTCATTTTGAAACCATTAGGACTCAGATCTTCCTATTCAGTTTTCAAGGTCACTAAAAACAAAGTATTGGAAAATTTATAATTTAGTTGTGCAGGTTAGATTTTGACTCAATAGTTTATTAGATTTAACAAAACAAAACAAACTTGAACTTTAATAGCACAGATATTTGATTCACTATTAAGATAATTCCCTGTAAGAAATAGTAAGGAAAGCTATGACAAATTTATGTTTCTTCAATTTAAGCATCAATTAGGAGAATTTAGTAAACTGCCATAGTCATATTGTTTCTAAAGGACATTTTCAAGTGATTGGATTTAATTGCATTAAGTATTCTAAAAAAAAGCATATTTTCCCTAACATTCAGCCTGACAGATACCCACAAGACTACCTCCATTAGTACCAGTTCCAGAAACAGGCAAACTAGCTCCACACATCTGCAAGGAAAAAATGTTGGGGATCTTGGCTTGATTCACAATAGACTCAAAAAAAGTCTCTGTAGAACTTGAAGGCTGTAAAAAAAAGAGAGAGAGTTGCAAAACTTCAGCTGTACACAAATTGAAGCACCCTGAAAAAATTGATACAGAACAACCCATGCAGATTATTTTTGCTAGATAAGAAGAGAAATTTTAAGAATCACAAATTTAAGCATCACTACATTATTAAAACATGAATTGTTATTAAAAGCTGAAACTCATGCTACACATTAAACATTAAAGAAAATTGCTAGTATCTGTTTAAAACCTTTCATCTATTATTTTTGATTAGATTCATAACTGTCTTCCTAAAAACCATATTGCAAATGTCTAAATTTGCCATGCTGTGCATTGTGTAATATATATGGGAACCATTCTTGCTCAAATTTGGTTAGACTTCCATTATGGATATAAACTGTCAATTTTGCCATTGCTGCATATTCTCCAATTTTGGTCTTCCACTCTGATCTAGGTTGTGGCCAGCAGCTGCAGAAATCATTTAGGTTGATTTTTCTAGGGGAAATTATCTAGGTCATGAGGGTGTGATCATCTAGGGAAATAAGGGAAGAGAAGAATGTGTTATAAGAAAGTTATCCCATACTACTTTTATTTATGTTTTATCTATGTTAGTAGTTGTTTCTCTCTGTGTTATTTAATTGTTACTATCCAATATAGTTTTTTTTTCTCTTTGTATTTCATTATTCTAATAATAAAATAGCTTTTTAAAAAAAAGATAAAACTTCAGTACAGGTGGTCCTTGGGTTATGACCACTCATCCAGCAACTGTTCAAACTTGCAATGGCGCTGAACGAGGGGGAATTACGACTGGTCCCTGGAGTTCTGGCCATCGCAGAGTTCCTGTGCTCATGAGATCACAAGTTCTGACATTCCCTACTGGCTTCCCACAAGCAAAGTCAATGGGGAAGCCGGCAGCAAGTTGGAAGTCATGGTCACGTGTGGTCCTCACTTAATAATGGCGACCAGGACTGCCAGAAGTGCAATCACTAAGTGACATAGTCACATGATATTGTGCTTTATGATTGTGTTGCTTAGCAACGGCAATTCCAGTCCCAATTGCTGTTGTAACCTGAGGACTACCTGCAGTTCCTCTCTAGATTCATATCAAATGTTATGCCACAATGGATTATGCTTTTTTCCCTGCCCTTCAGGGGTTGGAAAGTCCCTTATCACTTCCTCAACTGTTATGCCTTTATACCAACTTTCAGTCCCAACAGTCTTCCATGGGGAGGCTTAAGCAGAGGCTATATAACATTTAATGCATCATTTGTATCTCATTTATACCTAACATCTGGTGACTGACTGTAGGCTATATGCTGATTTAGGCCAGCATTCTATATTCACAATGACTCTACCAGATGCATCTGGGATGCTCATAAGCTTAGATAGAGGGAGATGGCCCTCTAAGCTCTTGCTTCCCAACAACTACTATTTATGTTACGGTATCTATGATTTAGGAGGTAGTAAACAGCCATCAATTTTAGTAGCAAGTAGTGGTAGCAGTCCTCCATGACCCTGTCCAGTCTCCTAAAGAAATTGGATGCCATTTCTTTAACATACTGGCAACAAATTTCACAGTTTAACCATTTATAGTATAAAAAGTATTTCCTTTTCCCTTCTAATAATTCTTCCTGCATTTAGTTTCAATGCATGACCTCACGTTCCAATATTTTGAGAGGGAGGGAGAGAGACAGAGAGAGAGAGGGAAGCCTCTTCCTATCCATATTATCTAGGCCATGCATGATTTTATATACTTCTATCATGCTCCTTTTTCAGTAGAGATCCCTAATTGCTATAGTCTTGCCTTGCAGGGGAGGAGCAAAGGCACCCTAACCATTTGGCTGTTCTTTTTTGCACCTTTTCTAGCACTATAACATCCCTTTTAAGGGAAATGACCAGAATTGTACATATGTAGTCTCATGTACCTTGATTTAGGCTATATTAATTTCATTTCATTTAGATTTAAGTACAGTTAATACGATTATTTCCCCGTGCATTTAATAATTTCCCCTTTGCACTGGAAGTTATAGTTTGAGGGTAATTTTTGGAGGATGGGAACACATGCAGCCTTGGAGCTGCAGATTCACCTCTGCTTCATAAGAATGAATTTAAAACTATTTAGAACATAAAATATTTATCACTACTGAATAAGCATAGCTGACTTTAGCTGATTTCAAAAAGCCAGGAAGGGTTAAGCCTGGTTAGTGCTTGGATGTGAAATCGTGGGAATACCAGGAATGTAGATTAGGCTACAAATTTGTTAAAATCCTACAAGGAGCTTTGAAATTTTCATTTGTCCACAATACCTGCCTTTATTTTCATATAAAGGAACCGGTAAATAAGAAGTCCAGTTACCTTAGCCAATGCACTATACGCCAAACCAAGGATCCCTTGCCACTGAACGCCTTTTAAAAAGAAATTTTCAGATTGAAAAATGGTTGCAATGTTGATGACATAAGTGCCATTGATTCCTTTAGGCATTCTAATAACATCTGTTCCAAGAATTCCAGTCCAACTTCCTTGGGTGTATTTAACAGTAACCTCAACATCCAGTGATTTATATGTGCTTGACCTAAGAAAAGAAATAAAAAGTTATAAACCAAGTTGTTCCATATTCTGGGATATAAGTAGTAATTTTATACACAGTCAACCCTCATTCTCAAGAATAGAAACTGTATCTGTTATGTAAAATCAGCAAAAAAAATCACCTTTTTTTCTCAGGGATATAATATAATACAACCAACCAAGCAGAATGTAGTACAGCCACCATTTTCCAGATACCACATCAGCCAGGCCAATTCTCTCTCTCCACATATGCTTGCATACATTTCAGTCTTTTAATTTATAGATAAATTATACATTTAATTTTAAACATAAAAAAAAAAACAAACCCTAACTGGGGCAAAGGACTTCCTTCAGACATGGCTAGATATCCTTTCTCTCCAAATCTCCCTTTTTGCAGGGAAAATATTATGCATGAACACCGTTTCCTGTACAAAGTTAGCTGTCATTTAGATTCCATCACAATTAAGCTTGTCCAGCTACTAGATGGTTTGCAATGTCAGAATATGAAATAGAAGAGTGCAACTATTTCATCTTCAAGACAACATGACCTTTAGCTGCATTAGTAATGCACTTGTTACTGCAATTTTAGCCTTCCTTATGGCATTTTTGTCTAATGCAGTTCTTTGCCGAATATTAGTCCTTTCTCTAGCATTTAGTTTAATTTCAGTCGTGTAACCAATAAAATTCCTGCCAAAAAAACACATGTTCATGTTCATCTATCAGAGCAGAGTTGAAGTATTAATTCATCATTTCAATAATATTGCTTCATCGCACACACACTACATACACATTTTATATAAGCCTGTATCCATATGCCTGTGTATAAGCATAAGTCTTATACAGAGACCTGATTGACTCTGTGTGGCACTGTTACTGCAGTCAGAGCCACAGGTGCTATAGAAAAAAAGAAGAATTCCATTGCATATTTGCAGATTATAACAATGACATGCCAAGCTTTTCCAACAATACTAGGATGGGATAAGGATTTTTCTTTTCGTGTTTAGCAAATTTCATTTGCTGAAGAGCGGCCACTGGAGGAAATCATATCAGGTGTATCAGTTAAATAATTCTAATACACATGCACAATCAGAAGTATGTGGGAATAATTAAATGAGAAATAGGGAGGCTGCATCCCGTTCAATGTTCTCTAAAGAAAAGTTTTCATCTACCTTTACTATTTTTTCCTGACATATTATAGAAACTTCAATACTCTTTCCTAAGAAGTGGGAGGCAGGGACCAAAAGTCTTACTTTTCTGCATTGAAGTATGAGGTCAAATCTGTATTGGATGCACCCGCAACTGCAAAATTGCTGCTTCCCGTGTCGACAAGAATATTTAGCTGTTGAAAAGAAAAGGGAGTTATATATTGTATTATATACAGAAAAAATGATTTTTTAAAAAAGCTTGTGACCTAAGTGTGAAATGCAATTTAAAAATCATTACTTTTTCAACTTTTCAACCTCCTACCAGGTTTTGGTAGTTCTTGGCTATTGAAAATATTTTCAGATCTTTAAATTTTAAAGATTTAATTTTTTTTTTTAACTCAGAACATTGTGTATTTAACTTGAATCATTGTGTACTGAACTCAAATTTTGCTACAGTAGGCTCCATTCTTAATCACAGGTCATCCATAAACCGGGTGTTTTTATCCGAGGACTACCTGTAGTAGGAACTGGAACTCTTAGGTACTTTGAAGGCTACCTTTGCTTGAGGATAATTTCTGAAAAGCCAAAGCACCATGTTGCTGAGAGATGAATAGGGTAAAAACCAAGGAAGGGAGGGTGAATCAGAAGTAGTGGGGGCTGGAGATTTCTCATCCTTTCATATTGTACGGAGTAGCACCAAAGCAAGAATTCTGTGGGAAAAGTATAGATTAATAGCAGCAGAAAGAATAGAGTAATAAGGATGGAATGTGAAGAAAGCAACAGAATCGAGAACACAGATTTTATTTGATCTGAAAAAAAAGATTGTTTTAAAAAAAGAATCCTTAGCAATCTCAGTAATGCATTTTGTACCTTTTTTTAATTCAAGTAAACATCCTGTAAATTATTTAGTTCAGCAAACCATATGTTTGTAGTTATTGCTACATTATTGCTATATTTCAGCAGGTAACTGCATAGAGTAGACATGCAGCATAAGTTGCTTTTGCTTTCCTTCTTAAAACTTTACCTGCAGGGGCATTCCTTGACTAAAAACCATGATGGGAATTATTTCTTTTCCCCTGTCTTGAATCATTGATCATCAAGAAACAACTTTACATAGAATTAAACCTGATCGTGTATATAAAGCCACATTTATAACTAACAAAGCCAGAATTTAAGACTATTCAGAAATAATGTTTTTTGGAATAGGAACAAACACTCAGGAAGGTTAAGGATATGTCTTCAATACTTCAAAACTTGGGAACTATAATATATTACCTAGATATAGAGATTGCTAGTAGAGAAGCACAATGGAAAAGTTTGGACATATTCAGAGAAAACATACAAAGCTTAGAGTGATTTTTGATTCTTCACTGCAACAGTTCTCAAGACAAAGTTAAGCATTTGTAAATTATTAGTCCCACACAATGGTTGGGTAAAACTGTTATTTGACAAAGCACATCACCATACAATAGCTAATAGAAACAATGCTTCAGTTAAACATTATTAGCATCACAAAGACACCTTTGAGTGATATCACTAAGGAATTCAAATAAATCTTTTAAAATAGGCAGCATATTTGAAATCTTGTTCAGTTTGTTGAAAACATACTTTTTTCCACTAGCTATTAAACAAACAAAAATATCTACAATTCAGTTTAGTCAAATACCAAATAGGTAAACCCACTTTAGCATGACCAGAATTCAGGGATTAATCGCTATTCAGATTAACATTCCACAATTACACGAAACTGGCATAGAATGTAAAAAGCACAAGAGAAAGGACAATGATTATGTGGTAAAAATTACTAATCTTGGAATACCAGCTCATATCACTAATAATACTAACAAGAATAGTATAGTCTTAGACAAAAATCTGTGACAGCCTTCCTCAGCTCCAGTTGTGTTGGGAGAATAAACCCCTGAATTCTCAGCTGGAAATCATGCTGTATAGGAATTCTAGAAGTCCTAAGATATTTGCCAAGCTGGGGAAGGGAACAGAATCACATTAACAGAAGTTCCAAAGAAGGACCTGTCTGATTGTTCCTCTTTTCCCTACAAAGGGAACTTTATTGGATGGAATAAAAAGGAACAGGCAGATAATCACTCTAACAAAGTATATCTTCCTTTCTTCAAAGATTGTAATACTGTAAAGGCAGTAATAGCACCTAAATCAGGGTTCCCCAAAATGATCAATATCAACATCAAGTGTTGATGGAATTATCCAAGGGATGATGATGATTTTTCATAGTACTATTAAAGTAGCATTAATTAAATCATTTTCATATAATAAATGTTTGACAGTTGGTGAACAATCTGAAACTTCATGAAGGGGTCAATAAGCTAAAGAGTTTGGGGACCCCTGACCTAAATGGTCATTGTGACCAGCTGCATTTCTATCCTGACTTGCTTAGTGAAGAACTGGATGTAAGAACTTTACACCCACTAGTTTGGATCAAATACAAAAAATAGTGATGAGCTCATATTGCTTTTCTGATGATTCTGATCTTTTATGTGGAACTTGCTAATCACAAATCTTACAGATCTCCTTTCTTCGAAGATTGCCAAACATTCCTGTGCAAGATCCCAATGTTCTTGTGTAAGATCTCACAAGTTTGAGGGCAAGCCTGGAAAAATCTCATGAAAATTGGTGATCCTATGAAATTTGGGGTGACTTTTGCCATCATATGGAATTTCGTGATAGCTTCTGTTGCCATTCTATTTTAAAACCATCTAAGAAATGATCATCTCCTCAGTAAGCAATAGTGAATTCTACAAAACTAATTAAGCAGTAGGAAAAATGAACTTTTATCTAAGGAATAAGGAAATGTCAGCCAGACTGAAATATGTATCTGCATGCTGATTTTCTGGTGGCTAGAGCAAAGGATTCTTAATATTCTATAGTTAATAATCAGCTGCTGGGAATTATTCTAGTACAATGATTTTTGCAAAAGTGGAGAAAAAAAGAAAGCTGGTTAATAGGTGGGAAAATTAGAAGCCAATTTAAATGCTGCCTCATTTAACACAACAATCTCTAATTACATCATCAACCATTCATTCTGGAAGAGCCGCTTCCAACCAAAACAGAAGATAAAGCACTCAAACTGCTATAATGTGTGCCGTTAGCCCAATGTTACTATGTATTATTGCTCACATTGAGTTTGTAAATATGATTCTTCCTCCAGTTCACTGTACTCATATTGGCTTTTGGAGAAACAGAATTAGTGATTGCAATTTAGTTGCTGATTTTTAATGTGAAATCAAACTATGAGCAAAATGAGTGGGAATCTCATTTTTAGAAAGCAACACATTTTTTTCTTTTCCTTGTACTTCTGAATTCATATGTTATTTCAAAGTAACTAAGATCTAGAAATATAGTTTAAATTTCTTTTAGGCAATTTTAGATGGGAACTAAAAAAAATGCAGCTGAGGATGGCATTTATTCATTAAAGTTTATATCTATAAAATAAGAGCAAGTTGGTTTTATAGAACAGCACAGATTAATTCAAACCATGGTTTATTATGGAAGAATGTTAGGTGCAAGCATGACCACCCATTTCAGGTCTCTCCTTTCAAACTGTTCCATTTTCAGCCTTTGCACCTGCTTTACATGAGAATAAGTAATACTGAGTCAAAATATTCAGATAAAATATCCTGTGTCTAATTTAATGTACTGTTATCTCAGAAACAATCCAATTTATTTAAAATGAGCTTCCTTTCAGCCTTACCTGCAAAGTTGTTTTACTGCATTTTGGACATTCTATTAAACTGCAAAACACATTTATTTAGTCTGATTTGAGAAACAATAAAGGGAAACCAAAATTTAAGGCATGTTGTCTTGATAGGGCACATTCCAGCACCATCCTGCTTTTCCTGTTAAACCAGAGATATTCCACTATAGCAGAATTTGCTCAGTTAATTTCTTTGTAGCCATCAAAGGCTCTTCAGGTTATCTTAGAGTCCCAATTGATCAGCAGGCACTGAAGGAAGTTAACAATTGTCTTTCCATTTAGAGTGCCAGATAACAGGCTGATCATAGAGCAAGGCTCACTCAGATTCTATTTCAACTGGTTGCAGTCTCTGCTCACATTTACTTAAAAGGAGTACTTCATTATTTTAAGAGCTGCATTTTACACACAGCATTGCTCCTGTGATTTAGAGAGAGGCCAAAGTTAATCACCACTCTCCCACCCTTCATTGTTAGGATATTTAAAGTATGATTCTAATCTTATTTACCCAGAACTAAATACCACTGATTTAAAAAGGACTTCTTTCTAGGGAATTGTGCTAACAATAGAGACACAAGGCCAAAGAGATAAGATGGAGGTAGGGGTAGACCTGCCACCAAATCTCCTAATGCTTTATCTCCTCCCTTAGAAAGCTGCCTTGATGGGGGTGTTCTTATCTTTTTTGGAACTAAGATTGTGAAGAAGTTTCAACTCCCCAGAAAAACTATTCACACCCAATTTACACATACCGTGATGCCAGGAATGAGTGTAATGCACAAGAGTCACTTCAGCCTCAGGTAAATCATCATTCTCTTATTACACTGTGCAGCTGGGAAAAGGCTGCTTTTACAGTCTTACAGGGTTAAGTTCACTAACACATTACCTGGTCAATCACAGTTCCTTTATGTTGCATGCAGCAACTCATTGGGTCAAAGACTGCCAATCTGAGAAATTCAAGGTCTCTCTGATACAGGAGTGTACTGGCAAGGCTTTATTCTTCAGTTGCCCTTTCTCCATTGGCCAGGCAGCACTGTCTGGACACTATAGCCAATCAGTGTTTGTGAGGTATAGCTAGAGACTCCCAGATGCCAGCAATTAATACTGCTAAGAACCACAATCTCTAGTTCTTAAGGGACTGAGTGGAAAGAGATTCTGGTCTGATGCATAGCTGGATAGGTTTTGGTATTCACACAACACATCTGGCTAGATTAACTTTCATTTGTCCCAATGCTGTTTTGACCTAAAACTTTCTTCTCATATCCTAGTTCTAACTGAGGTTTCATGTGTTTTTCTGTACATTAGCAATTCAGTTACCAGGCCATCCGCCTCCCCCCACCAGGTATCCAATCAGCTTGGAAGGTGGTAGAGGTATCCCATTGCCATCCCCAAAGGGAAAGGCCAGGATTCCTCACATTCACCAAAAGACATGGTATATTCACCATGATAAGCAAAAATGTGACTTCTTGAATG